TTGTTGCTCGCCCGTTGTCCCAACTAACAAGTAAGAATGTACCTTACGCATGGGATGCAACATGTGTGCCTCGATTCTCTATTGTTGCTCGCCCGTTGTCCCGACTGACAAGTAAGAATGTACCTTACGCATGGGATGCAACATGTGAGACCGCATTTCAAGCCTTGAAAGAGGCCTTGGCATGTTACCATGTACTCCGCATTGCAGATTTCAAACTAACATTCGTAGTCACTACGGATGCTAGCCAATATGGGATTGGCGCAGTGTTGCAACAAGATGACGGCGATGGCTTGCGGCCGCTCGAATAGTACAGCAAATGCATGCCCAACGAAAAGGTAGCTACTTCCACCTACATGCGCGAGCTCTATGCTTTGCTTATGGCTTTGGATCACTGGAAGCACTGTCTTTTGGAACGCCACTTCAAAGTGTTCTCAGATCATGAGACCTTGAAGTGGATCAAGGAGCAAAACACCCTGTCCCCTACTTTACTGCGCTGGTTCCATGAGATTGACATTTTTGACTTTGAGCTAAGACATAAAAAGGGTTGTTATAATCGAGTTGCTGATGCATTGTCTCGCCACCCCGAGTAAATGACTTGCCTTGTTAATTCCTACGACCTCTGGAAAAATATGAAGGAGGAGATCGTAGAACACATTGTTAAGGACCCGGACCTTAGTCCCATCTTTGAGCAGTTGCAGGTTGACCCCAACAATCAGCCTGATTTTCACGAATTCGGAGGACTGGTTTTCTGATGCTATGGTTATCACGACCATTTGTGTGTGCCTAACCATGAGCCTCTCCGCACGCACTTCTTGGATTTGGCTCATGGCCGAAGTGGACACTTCGGCATGGCAAAGACATACGGAAACCTATTAAGACAGTTTGATTGGCCTGGTATGAAGGGATTTGACGAAAACTTTGTGGCTGAGTGTCAAGTCTGTCAACAAATCAAACCATGTAGACAAAAGCCCATGGCGCTACTTACACCCCTTCCCATTCCCAATGGACCCGGGGAGTCCGTCTCCATCGACTTCACCGACATGGGAAAGGGAAGTGAGAACGACTATTCACAAGTCATGGTGATTGTTGACCGCTTCTCTAAATTTCTGAATTTGATTCCTTGGCCATCTCATGCCCCAACTCAATTGGTGATCCGTGAGTTTGAACAGAAGTACATTATGCAATTTGGAACCCCAAAAACTTTTGTGAGTGATCGGGACCCGCGCTTCATAAGTACCAACTCCCTGGCCTCAGACTATGCATGACATCTGGCCGACATCCCGAAGCCAATGGTTTGGCTGAGGAAATCAACCAAACTGTGTTCCAACTTTTTCGAGCTTTAATCATTCAGGATAAGGAGACATGGGATGAAGAGTTGTATTCCGTCAAGAGGTTGTACAACATCTCCATTCATTCTTCCACCAGCATGACGCCAAACAGGCTGCATTACGGTTGGCAGATTCGAACTCCGCTCTCCTACCTGTTCCCTGAACAGCCAGCTGGCTTAACACCCGGCAGGCCCGACTTCAAGGCCAAGTACGATCGCTTGCTTTGCCAGCACAACAATGACCAAGCAACAACACACAATGATCCATCATGTGAACAAGAAGCGCCAACCTTCGGATATCGAAGTAGGAAGTTATGTTTGGGTCAAGATATCTGAATTCTCAAAAGAAGAGGGAGTCTCACACAAACTTCTTCCGCTCTACTATGGTCCGTGGGGAGTTCTGGATGTGATTGGCAAGGATGAGTTTGGCCCCGCATACAGAGTTGTTGTTCCACCTCATCTGCGCACATACCCCGTCTTTCATGTATAAAAACTGTATATCCACCGTGATGCTAAATCCTTCGATTACCGTGACGACATGATTCCTCGTGCAGTCAATGGCGGTCACGAGATCGATAGAATCAAACAGCACGTATAGAAGGGACGTAACAGACAGTACCAGGTTCACTTCATGTATCACCCATTGGACGATCGCTACTGGATCTCCAAGAAGGAACTGCTGCGCAGCGCACCTCGCATTGTTAAAGCCTACGAGCGACAAATCGCCTCTAATGCTGTTCCCAAAATCTCTGCAAAGCTCACTGCGACAAAGTACTCTCGAAATCTCTTTGCCTTATTTGCTTACAATGCGTTTGTCGGGGACTCAGACTGAGTTACTTGCTAGAAGGGACCTCGCTCTTAAGGGGGGGGTAGCGTGATGACCCGACCAAACACAGACTGAGACACAGTTGATTTCTGAGTTTAGCTCATGGACTGAATGCCTTACTGAATTTCCCACTTGCTGGTCTGCATGTCTGCGTGAGTGCTGGTTGTCCTGAGTGTGTGTGTGACCCGCAAGGGCACTTGTTCGTTTGTTGGGCCCTCAGGGTCGGTACTTACATGTGGCCATGACATTGAAGATTGCAGCGGGGGAAAACACTCAAAGTGGCAGGTAGGCCGGTACCACACCCTGAAGCGGTAGATGTGCGGGTACTGGAGGCCAAGCAGAAGAAGACCAAAGTGGCATTTTGTGAGGCCCAGTAGTTGTAGGCTAGGTCTAGGCGGGTACCAGTCCAACCAGTCTGAGTCTAGGGCCTGTACAGGCAATATCAGAGTCTGCAATGATGATTCCCTCCGAAAGGGAGGAGGTACCGGTTGCTGGGAAGGCCAAGCGGCCTGGAAGTCACCGCCCAAGAGGCAAGCAGGCCGCTATATCTCCAGGCCGGGCAAAGAGCCCAGCCTCATTGTCGGTGTGCAAGTTTGGCGACACACTGGTTGGAGCGCTGGCTGGAGCAGCGCTAGCAAGAGCAGCGCTGCTAGGGAAGGAGCAAGGACACGGAGGAGGAAGAAGAGCGGGAGGAAGGGGGAGCGCCAAAGGTACTTACCTGGCTATGGTGGCAGCCATCTTCATCACCTTGGTGGGCGCTGCAGCAGGAAGACCCCAGCTGGGGTAGAGCTACACCAAGAAGCTTCGAGGCAGAGTCAGGTATGGCGGCCTGAGGTAGAGCAGCCATAGCTGCTTTGGGTTGTCCTTTGGGCATCAGGGCAAGGCCCAGCAGTCTGCCATAGCCTCGGCCTATGAGAGTGAAGAGTGACGGAGGCAGCCATGGCTATGGTGGACCTCAAGTGATACCTGCAGTAGAAGAGGGATTCGGTCATTGATTCTGGTTCAGCCATTCAACATTGTACTATTATTTCTTGTGTGAATAAGAGAGGAGAAGTGAAGGAGGAGGAGAGTGTTTGGCGAAGAAGAAGAAGAGCGTTATCATTTCTCTATGCTGGTGTAGATCATCTTCTTCTTCTTTCTTTCTTCTTCTTCTTCTTACCCTCTCTCTCATCTCAAGTTCATTCATTTCTTTCTGCAATTGGACCGCATTGTACTATCTGATGAATGTGTACTTCGAAATTGGCCAGGATCATAACAGCATTCTGAATTCTAATCCACAATATCTTCAGAAAGAAGCACTTGGGGCAGGTTCAAGCTATCCTTCTCTCTGCTGCTGCCTGGTGCTACAATCATAGACTGACACGCATTCTGACAAGGACATAGGGCACTCCAGATGGAGGCGGACGGGTGGGCCCAGAGGAAAGGAGGTTTCAGGTTAAGCTTTGGATCAGGGAGGACGGTGATAATCACCTCAGTTGGGACCAGATTTCTTGGAGTCCGGGCAAACCTGTGCCCTCAGAATGTCACCAGTCATGATTCAGGTCAAAGTTCTTAAGTCCGGATGAAGTTTATCAACATGATTCATGGCATTTCATACAAGGCAAAAGAGTACAAGCGAAGCCGATAACCAAACCCACTGCAGGCCTAAGGCAACTGTACAAGCGAAGCCGATAACCAAACCCACTGCAGGCCTAAGGCAACTCTACCACAGCTCTAACATAGGCGTAACTGGCATACTAACCCCAGAGACTTTCATAACCTTGTGATAGTATGGCCCACTAGGATGGATCCTCAGCAACGCTGGAATGAGAGAACGGCTGAAAACATACGACCAGGAAACCCCTCTTGAAAAGAGTTAGCATACAAAGTGAAGGATGGTGACATGACTTGCAAGGCCCAGTGTTGGTGGAGGATGATACTCGCTGGCTTGTTGACTACTAAGTTCTCGCAGACGTACAGCTGTGCTAGCCCCACTGCCAATGCAGGATGACTACCGTCTTCACCCGAATAGAATGCCCGGTAATTATCATCGTATCTGGGCTGAAATTTGTGCTAAATACAGCTATAATGACCGGGCGTTCTATTCGGGTGAAGACGGGACTGGCTAACTTGTGACAATGGGGGCCAACGACCAACGCCGACCGGGCCACCATTGTGATCCAACCAGTAAGGACCGACCGGTCAGCAGTTAATAACCACTTCCTATAGACTGATTAGGCAAGTTTCTGAACAAACTGATGGCGGGCAGGCTTGTCGAAAGTGAGTCTCCAGAGGTTTCGGTTTTGTATTTCTAATGGGATCAGGGGGGGAAATGTTTGAGGGGTTGTCTTCTTGTATGGGGTGCATGGCACCATGCAAAGAATAACTCTTCTCTTGACCAGCGCAGCCAAACAGACAGAAAAACAAAAATAGACAATGCATGATAGAGATGATGTTCCCTGTCCCCCCCCCCCCCTGCGTAAATCATCGCCTTTCACGAACCTTGGGTTTGATGATGATAATGATCATGACGGTTGATGATGGTGGTGGTGGTGATGATGATCACAATGCCAATGATGATGGAAGAAGGTGTTGATAATAACAACAATGATGAAGACAATATATATAGATGGCTAGGCTCTGCGCAATTGGGCAGCCAAACATCGGTACAGGGCAGCCAAAACCACTGCACCCTGATGCAGGTTGACGACCCCACGACCGGAGCATGCCAAGCATTCGACTGGTTGGGTGGCTAGGCTCTGCGCAATTGGGGGGGTACGCAATGCATGGCGAGAAAACTGAACAAACAAAAAAGAAAGCCAGTGAAGAACCAGGGCCAGGGAAGAAGGACCCGGTTGTATGTCTCACATTTGATTTGCCATTCTCCATCAGATGGTGACAAGAAGCACCTCCGCCAGCACCTTCCCCAACTCCACCATTACCCACATGTCCTCGAAGGTCATCCGGACGATAATGCTGGCCACTGTTGCATTCAGCCCTGAGATTGCAATAAAATCGCAGAAAAAGCAAAAAGCACAAAAAAGACAAGCACGGCCAGTAAGTACACGACCCTGACTTTAGGTCATTCCTCATCACTCAACCCGATAAATCTGCTCCAAACGAAAACCAGTTCTCAAATGGTGTCCTTTTCCTCAAAACAATCCGTATTCGGGTCCAGTGGAAGCTTTCTCATGTAGGTGCCACCACTCTGGTTCATATCTACGAGCAAGTCAGTTGCAAACATAACATTGTCACAAAGCCGTCAACGCTGCTGTAACTCGTGTGCCAAAATTGAGCAGCTGGGCTCTGATTCCGCCCTCAGACAAGCACGAACAGGCAGGCCCTGAAAAACAGGCCCTAGGAAGAGGCCCAGACCGACAGTTGACCGAAATGTCAATAGTCAACTCGTGGACTCAGGCCCAGATCCGAGAAGTCGAAGTCAACACATACTGGCCGTCAATTGGGAATGATCTAACAGTGATCTGCAGGTTCAGGAAGATTCAGGCCTCAAAGAGTCCAGACCGAAACTGGGACAAATTGCATGTGAGCCGTCGAAACTGGGACAAATTGCATATGAGCCGTCGACATTCGGACGATCTGGGGCCTCACATGGACAGAAGCTGACCCCAGACAACGCGAGTCAACACTATATAGAGTTGACCTCGCCACTGCTTGGGCATTCAGTCTTGCGAGTTGCTTGCGGCTTCGATGTTGCACGTGAGACTAGAGAGGAGGACACTGGCGCCAGGCTGTCTCGTGGGCGCCAGCCAGATGCTGTAGTAGGAGAGGAGAGAGAGGGAAGGCAGCCATTGCTGCGGCCATAGACAACAGCGAGGTAGTGAGGAGAGGGAGAGAGTGTGGGTGAGATGTGATGTTGTGTGTACGTACCTGGTCTCACCTGACGTGATGCTGCTGCTGATTCTGCTCACTGTTGAAGGATCGCTCGTCTGTGAGGGGCTGCGTTTACATCATCCACGTGTCATACTGTGTACAGATTGCTGACGTGGCAGAGGTGGGGAAACCTGGAGGAGAAGAGGGACTTGATTGCTACAGTATTTTCTCATTCCATCTGCCTTTTCTTCCCCCTCTCTGTTCTAGTCTGGATACTCTTGACTTGGAGACTTTACACGTGGTAACAAAGGATCATGTACTTCAATTACTTCGAATTGGTGGTCTAGCTGGAATGCTTATCTCGACATTACACGACATTGCTATCTGACGACATGATTGTTTGACGAGACTGGGCTCATTACAACTCGGTCGGATGCGTATATATTGTCATCACATAGCTATCCACTAGGATTGCATGGATGAATCAGGCCGAGAAAAACTTGAAAAAAGGCAGAGGGGGCAGCGAGAGAAAGAGACGGAATCGAGTATGGTATCTGTTTTTTTCTCATCCTTTTGCCAAAGATCAAGTGTAGTACCTGTTCTCAGTGTTCTGCTTAATATCCGATCTATTGCCAATCAGAGCAAAATGCAGTAAATATAGCACCCTCTTTCATCTTTCGTTTCTCCTTTTAGTTTCTCTTTTTTTTCTGCGTTCTTTTTTTTCTTTCGTTCTCCTTTCATTCTTTTCAATTCCTTTATTTTACTTTTAACTGTCCTCTTGTTCTTTTCCTTCTCTGTATGCTCCTTTTGACTATAATCGTAGGATCCAATGCTTCCCATGTGTGGCTGAGCAGGAAGAATCCACACACCCATCTTCTCACCAGAAGCATACCTGCATCATGGAAAGTAGGAGAGACAAAAGAAGAGGAGCGTTTGCAGTGAAAATAACCAAGAAAACAAAGGGAGGGTGCAGATGGTGCGGTCGATGACAAGGCAACCCATAGACAAAGCTCTCATCAGTGCAACCGACTGATGCAGCTGGCATGGGCCATGCCGCAAAAGCAGGCTGGAAAATGGCGCACTGGCTGCGGGCAAGGATGAGAGAAGGCAGGGGGTATCACAGGTGCACATCCTTGGTGGTGAAGCGGACATACCAAAAAAAACAAAAAACAAGTGGACATACATACTGTGTTAGAGGGCACACAATGCATACAACGACAGGAGAGGGGGAAGTCTTCTCTGTCGCATATTTTGCTATGGAGGCCATCCCATCACAGTGACCCTGGCAATATTGACTGTATCCACACCGCATGGCAGGAAGGCAAGATGGTTCCTTCAACGTGACTAGAGCGGTATGCGGCTAGTGAAAACAAAATCATCACCGCAGAAACGTCAGCATGAGTTATGAATTCAACGATAACGGCGATAATGCCACATTTTGCCAGTCCCAGACCAGAGCTCAAACCTAGCAAGGTTTACGAGTTAAACAGGCATGGACATGAAGATGTTGGTCTAGGCTCACACCCTGGAGAGCATTATGCACCTCGGTGCTGCGTAAACTGCAAGCTGCAAACTGCAGGACTTGGATAGCAAAGCCTCCTGCCCTGATGTGACTAGCAACCTCTGGTTTGCACTGTCTTTATGATGAACAGCCGTACCATATTACAACACACAAGCTGCTTATCGTGAAAATGCTTTCAGGCCATCAAGATAGTGTCCTGTTACCGGGAATGTCATTAAGGGAAAGCAAAGTGAAATCATTAGTGATCGATTACATAATCGATCAAGGGAGGGAAAAAACTTGACACTCGAAGGTCTCTCAACCAACAGTAATCCGGCGCTACATAATCGAGCAAAGCAGGAAAGAAAACTTAACACTCAAAAGATTACTCAACCCACGGTTATCAGGCACTACAAATGAAACATGAGTCTGGTCAGCGGGGAAGGAACAAAGTTGGACAATGCTCCACCGCTTCGCTGTACTTGATTTGGTTGTTCTCAATAAACTACCGTCTTCACCCGAACAGAACGCCCAGTCATTATAGCCGCATTTGGCACAACTTTCAGTCCAGATGCAGCGATAATTACGGGGTCTTTTATTCGGGTGGCGCCAGTAGTAGGTTTTACATAGGACCCATGAGAACTCCATCCTGTTAACCTGCATACTGAAGTGAGGCCTGCGCTGCAGCCAGTAAGTTTTCTGCAGACAACAAAGGGGGCATAAAGACTGAAGAAGCACTAGGGCCCGCAGCGACACGTGGTTGCCATACATAAGAACTGGAGAAGGAGAGAGGATAGGTGAAGGCGAGGTGAATGATATATCTATATATTGTCACATCACTACAAACTAAAAGAGCGCACTTTGCGGAACAAAGAATAAAAGCAAAAAACGGGCACAGTGATAACATGCAAAAATAAAAAGAAAAAGAAAAAGAAAAAGAAAAAACAAGGGCAGATTGAAACCATTAAATTTCTC